AAGAGTGGATAACTACTAAAAATAATTACTACGGAAACACTAATTACAACAGAATTTACTCTAATAATTATTATTACCATAGATAATTACTCTCAAAACAAATTAAAGGAAGCATAAAATACAGTTAACATAAATGATTTTGGAAGGTCACATTTTCAAAAAATTACTTTGAGGTCATCAACTGGTTTGAAAATCCCAATCTAGACCTTTACTCAATATTGCCCAGTATCTATTTGTGTGTACTGCAAGTGAGTTCCTACACACAAACAGAATAATGCAGACCTATTTCCTGCCCATAAAAAAATAAAAAGGACATATGTAATGATTGCCAAAAACATGTTTTTCCCATTGATTCCCACTGGTTGGAGTGTAAGTGGGCCTTGTGACATTTTTTTCATTGTGAATGGCATGTAGGCTGCAGTAATATATGAATTTGTCTGTTATTCTAGCAAATAAACTTAGGACTTTGCTTTTGATGTCTTCAACTTTTTGAGTACAACTTTATAGATCAAAAAATTCATTTAGCTAAAATCCCTTTGACATTTTCTCAGAGACACTATTAGGAAATGGACTAAAAGGACACTCAAGAATAGGGAGTTTATAAGAGTTAAAATGGGTTATTTACAAATAGATATGATTAAATTATTGCAGCAAGTATCTGTTTGTCAGAAATTGATGCTTCTAAGAATAAGCCTATTTTACAATTTAATCCACTTAACGTTTGGTTAACCTTTTTCTTTTGGTTGGGTCACAAGAGCAGAATAACGACAATGTGCTCATTTCCACGTGACTCAATGATAACTCCTCAGGTCATATCAGTGTCAGAAGTCTGTGTACTGCAAGGCCTCGATTGACCTGAAGCTTTGCCCATTGTATAGCACAAAGTAACATGATGTGCCTCCAGACACACAATGTACAATTTTGCAGGCACTAGAACTAATGAATGCTATTTTCCTACATGCTTGTTCCCCGAGGCTGATTGCAAATTCTAATTGCATCATTTTCTCATGCTTGGAGCCTGGAGAGCTCATGCTCTCTCACTGGATTACTCTGCAGCCAGGCATGCTTAGAGGGACATTTATTTATGTCTCCCTGTACCTATTGCAAGTGAATTGCCTTTGAAATCTCTTTCCTGTTGTCATTGAGAAGTTGGCTGGGATTCCTAAGTTATAAGGGGAAGGGTGGCAATGGATAGTTGGATAGACAAACTCACACAGACCATGGCTGCATACACCTCATTTTCAAAGTCAGGCTAAAATGAAATGAATATATATATAAAAGAAATGAAAAAGAAAAAGGAAAACCACATTTTTCAGTGTTGGCTGATATCTGTTCTGAAATGTGAAGAACCATCCCTTTGCTAGAACCGACAGAGTACCAAACCTGCTGTGTGTCAGCTGTAAATGGTGTAGAGTGCTGCACTCTGGGGAAGGAATTGAGAGGTAAAAGTAACTGAACGGTACAAGTGAAGGTTGCCACAGCTCCACAGCTGCTTGTATCCTCATACGCTCTTTGTTATCCACAACCAGCAAAATGAAAGGAAGCTTAACTGAACAGGAATCAAGTGTTGTACAAACCTAATAGCGAAGATAGTGGGCTGACACCTTCCCTATGTGAGTGAAAAACAAAATCCAAAGGGGTTTTACTAGACCTAGGATCTGGCATACTATTAGATACAGCCAGCTTCAGTGTCTGTCCTAAGGGGTTTTGTGGTGCACTGCAAAGGTAAGCCTCATCGTAAAAAGCTGGCAGCCCCCAGGTAAGGTGTGTATGTAAACCAGCTGCTGGATTTGGCCTTTGAAATGCAGTGGTTTTGCTCTGACTGCAGACACCTCTGCTCAGTGAGGTACACGGTCCTCAATGACCATGCACAAGAATTACATGGCATCGCTTCTGTCTTGTGCTGGTGTATGGCATCGACATGCATGAAGGACCTCAGTTTTCATGCTCTGGCTGTTGTGCCTCCCTCTCCCAGTGCCTGCGCTTGATCCACGAACCATGCAAGCTCCCATGAGTGAAACATTTGCATGATTTACACAGCAGTGTACCCTGCAGTAACAAATAGTACACCTTCACTGGTAGAAAGAGAATGTTCTTGAAGCACTGTAACTTACGTATACAGTCATCGGTCACAACTGAATTGCCATCGTCACACTCTTCCCCATCCTGTACAATCCCATCTCCGCAGGTACCGACAGCCTCGAAGCGGTAATCCACGGGATAAAAAGGGGTGAGCTGGCCAAAGAAACACACAGCAGTCACTGAACTGATCATGAGCAGCCTGGCTAGCAAGCAGAGGTGAAGGGTTGTGGGAGGCTGATCCTGCAACCAGGTTTTCATACCCTGCTATTTGGTGGTTCACAGAATCTGACTCAAAGCCCAGTAGATA